GCTATTGGGACAGATGGAAGCCGATTGCCATTGTGTAAAAGAACAGCTTTCAGAGAGTATTTTCCTGAGTCTATAAACAGCCTCCAATCCTCTGTCTTGTATGTTTCAGACTTGCAGAGTTGTTGCATGAGAGATACTGCGTCCTCGCAATAACAAAGGTTGTTTGCCATCTGAAAAATGCAGACAGCTGTCTATGTCGGTAACGCGCTGTAGTGATATGCACTCCATCTTCTAGCAGGTTACGCTGCTTTAGTCTGGATCCCAAAACTTCAGCCCTTTCTTTTGACAAGTTCAGGTCCCTGATGAGATCATGAAGCACTTCTTGAGTAAATAGTTTAGGCCTGGTATTTTCAGAGTCATCCTGGTAGTCGTTTTCCATTGAGGTAGAGGTAGAATCGGAATCACTCAATTCTTGTTCAGTCGGTGGATTTGGGACTGGAAGTTCAGCACTGTGCGGTACTGGTCGGATTGCAGAAGCAATATTGGGGTACTGTACCTTGCCTCGTGTCTTGATTTTTATTCCCTTAATATTTGTGAGACAGAAGTAGCAGTCACTACTGTGGTCTTTAGGTTCACGCCATATCATTGGTACAGCAAACGGCATTCCTGAACTTCGTTTACCACACATCCACTCGCTCAGGTGGTTAACACAAGACTTACAGGCTACATGAGGTGCCCATTTCTTGTCTTGGTCACCCAAATGACATTTGAAGTAACTTTTGTAGTTCAGTCGAACAGCTTTTGTGATTGGTTTCTTGAGGCTACCAGGAGTGAAGGCACCACATATGTAGCAAAAACTGTCAGCACCGTTCACACACTTGCGACGTTCCATGTTTTGTTAATTTCAGAGTAATTACAAATCATGCAGGTGTAGATATGCAATATCATGAATCAGCAAACTGAAACAAACAAAAAAGCACAAATCAGGACAAAATAATTGCATAAGTGGAGCCAATGAGCATATAAATTACTGTATGAATAGCATGGTACACTAAATATATAGATATGCTGGTTCTGGAAAACTGAGCCTGATACAGCTATACGAATGTCATAATTGAGTTCAGCACATACAATTACACTAGAATCAGACTGTTTTGATCCAGAACCATGAGAATTTTTTTTTATGTTGACCAGTGTAATAGATATCGTAAAAAAACAATTAAAAGCACTGAAATTTGTTTTTAATTAATATACTCAAATCAAAGGTATATTCCTTGGTTTATCTTTCCTTTATAAATTAATTTTGATCATCAGAAAACTGTCTAGTGTTTGTTCTACTTAAAATTCATTGCTCATAAAACCTTGCCTACGTAGACTTATTAAACTGTTCTGAACTGAAGATCCTGGATGTTTGTCGTATGTTAATAGTTATGTACTGTAGTTAAACACATGGATCTACTGCTGCTTAATTGTTTGATGAAAATTCTACTGCAAGTTAATTAACATCACAAATATTATCACATTTTGTTTTCCTCACAGCCGCTTCAAGTTGTCCATAAAATTAATTACTTCATTTTTTATTTATTTTTTGTTTTCCTCACAGCCGCCTCAACTTGTTCATAAAATTAATAACTTTATTTTTATTTACTTTTTGTTTATTTCCATTCTATTATCATTGTATACTTCTATTTATTTTACTCATCTTTTTTTTCATCTTCTGCTTAATATAACGGCTTAGTATCTTTACACTTGTCTTAATATCATCACACTAAGACTAACACCTACATACTATCAATGGACAACAGTTAAGGGGAAAACTGGCCTGAGAGTTTATTTATTTAGTTAGATACATTCACTTAACATCACAGGGAACAACACTAATGTGCCGATTCTTACAAAACATTCTGAATGTTATTATGAATAGTGTGAACATTAGGCACCCAAGCTAATGAGTAAACATCCTAACATTACCAAGGGGGGCAGGTTAGCATTAGGGGTCTTTAATCATCAGGTGAAATAAGTTGCGTTGTCTAATCTTCAGGTGATCCTTATTGTGGTCATCGCATTAAGTGAACGTATTTTTTTTTAATGTTCCCCTTCTGTTTCAGCGTAAATCAATCAGTTTAGTAAAGTCTCAAGTCTTCAGTTACGCGTAATATCCTTCGTACCCAACACTGTGACTCCGGACCCCTTGGCCCAGCAACCCTGACATTCTTAAAGGTTCGCAAAATCATTTTCCCGGCTTTTAACTTGATACTGTATACGAAAACGTGTCTCACTGACTCACGCACCGACAACATGAGATATAACGGCTAGAATGGCGTTTATATTACAGCGAGACGCCATCATGACTGAAGTGTTGTTTTCGCGCCAGTCTGGAGAGCGAGCGAGCGAAGGAGGGAGGGAGGGTCCAAAGGAGGGAGGGAAGGAGGGAGGGTCCGAAGGAGGGAGGGAGGGAGGGAGGGTCCGAAGGAGGGAGGGAGGGAAGGAGGGAGGGTCCGAAGGAGGGAGGGAATGGGGAATTATCGCCAGAATGTTTGGGAGTCCAGCAGGCTCACAGGATGAATTTGATGCATGTATATTATACATTTTAAAATGTATTCGTCTAGAGTGCTTAATAATACGTTTATTAATGTTTGCAAAATATGTTCTAACACTGAAGGTAAATCAGACATATTGTGGCTGCAATTATTATTTTTCTAATCATCATTGCTGATACAAGGTCACGTACAGCACAGCAGGGATTGATAACACTATATTCATTTCGCAGATATTTTATTTATATTTCAAAAAATGTAACTTTTAATGATATTATAAACAACCTCATAAATTTGGCTAGTAAGGTTGCTCTATTATCTCTTTTTTACTAGTTTTTAATGCTTGGGCATGAACAGATATCAACCCGGCAACGTCATGATGCAAGTAGCCAATAATAGAACAAAAATATGACGTCATTATGCGTGCAGGACCAATGGAGGGGTTGAATGACATCATCACTGAGACGCACCCAATGTTGATGCACGGATATGACGTCACCGTCTGACCCTGCAGCCAACGACAGACCAAGAATACTAATACGTCACGGATGCTCGCAGCCAATGGTAGGGCCACGAAATGACGTAATTCATATGTTCGTAACCAATGGCAGGGCGATGATTACGTGACGTCGCATGCCATAATAACCAATTACAGGGCAGGAACGGACGCTAGCAACAAAAACTCAACAACAACAACGTCGTTTTTCTGTTGTGTCTGTTGGTTGTGGTGAGACTAGAGGAGGTGTGAGGCATTGTCAAAGTCAATTCATTGGGGGTTTTGTGGTGGTGATTGTTGATGGTGATAGTGTGATGGTGGTGGTAGTGTGATGGTGGTGGTAGTGAAATGGTGGTAGTGGTGGGTGAGTTACAAGAATCGCTCCAGCATTCCATCATCACCCTTTGACCTTTCCCTACCTGCACCACCACCACCACCCTGCCAGCCTAGGCGGGGATGATGTCATGAAGCCACCCCACCACGTGTAACTCCCACCCACCCAACGCCCACTCACAATCTAGGCTCCGCCCACAACTTCAACATGGGCGCTTTGCAAATACAACCCAAATCCCACTGCCACACCCACTTGTGTGTACACCCACCCTACCACACCCACTTGTGTGTACACTCACCCCACCCCACTACACTCACTTGATGTGTACACCACATACCACACCCACTTGTTGCGTGTACACCCACCCCACCACACCCACCTGTGTGTACACCCACCCTACCACACACCCACTCTGGTGTACACCCACCCCACCACACCCACTTGTGTGTACACCACCCCACACCCACTCTGTGTGTACACCCACCCTACCACACCCACTTGCGTGTACACCCACCTACACACCCACTTGTGTACACCCACCCCACCCCACACGCTCACTTGATGTGTACACCACATACCACACCCACTTGTTGCGTGTACACCCACCCCACCACACCCACTTGTGTATACACCCACCCCACCACACCCACTGTGTGTACGCCCACCCCACCCACTTGTGTGTGCTGTGTACACCCACCCCACACACCCACTCTGTGTGTACACCCACCCCACACACACCCACTTGTGTGCACACCACCCCACCACACCCACTTGTGTGTACACCCACCCCACACACCCACTTGTGTGTACACCCACACACACCCACTTGCGTGTATACCCACCCCACACACCCACTTGTGTGTACACCCACCTACCACACCCACTTGCGTGTATACCCACCCCACACACCACTGTGTGTACACCCACCCACACACCCACTTGTGTACACCCACCCTACCACACCCACTTGCGTACACCCACCCCACCACACCCACTTGTGTGTACACCACATACCACACCCACTTGTTGCGTGTACACCCACCCCACCACACCCACCTGTGTGTACACCCATCCCACCACACCCACTTGTGTACACCCATCCCACCACACCCACTTGTGCACACCCACCCCACCACACCCACCGTTGTCGTGTACACCCATCCCACCACACCCACTTGTCGTGTACACCCATCCCACCACTCTCACTTGCGTGTACACCCATCCCACCACACTCACTTACGTGTACACCTATCCCACCGCACTCACTTGCGTGTACACCTATCCCACCACACCCACTTGTCGTGTACACCTATCCCACCACACCCACTTGTGTGTACACCCACCCTACCACACCCACTTGTCGTGTACACCCATCTCTCTCCTACACACACGCACCAAACTTATAAATACACACCACTCACTCACACATGTATAATAATAATGGCTGCCCCTCGTGTAACGAGGAGGACCGGCCCAAGAGCCACCTAGGCGTGAATTTGTATAGGTGTAGAAGCTGTCGCCAACACAACAACCACACCCTGAGTTAACGAGCTGCATGACCCAGTGTCAAGAAATAATCCGAGAAGACCGGACAAATCAACTGCCCTTACTAACCATTACCCCGGAACACTACCCACAAATTGATAAACATCCAGGTTCCCAATTACTGCTGGGCACACACACACACACTACTACTACTACTACTACTACTACTACTACTACTACTACTACTACTACTACTACTACTACTACTACTACTACTACTTTGCTGTCAATCGAAATCGAGTTATTAAGGATGACACCTTCATTGGTGAGTTTTGAGGTGACTAAAGAGGCCGATACGGGACTGGCAGGGTCGACCACAGAAGTTGTACGTGAGGGGGGCTGCATCTCGTGCGGGAGGGGCGGCGGTAGCATCATTCCGGCGTTGGAGCGTCTGCCTCGTTATGCAGTCGGACTAACTCGGAAGTATTGACACCTTCTTGTGTGGTGCTCCTCCAAGCGTTACGGTGTGTAGTAATCGTCTCCCAGTTAAAGGGGGCCTATCTTGCACTTTTTCAGGTTTGTCTTAAGACTATCCTTATACCTCTTCACTTGCCCGCCAGCATTACGTTTACTATTCGTTAAGTGGCTGTGCTGTAGTTGCTTTGGCAGTCTACTGTCGTCCAAGCGGGTAACATGGCCAGTCCAGCGTAGTTGTTCATGAATAATAGTAGCCTCGATGCTCCTACAGTTGGGGTCACCAAGAATGCTGGCATTTGTTTTCTTGTCTTCCCAGCAAACTCGGAGGATGGAACGTAGACTACGTTGGTGAAAGTTTTCAAGTGCCTTGATGTGCCTCCTGTATGTAACCCATGTCTCGCTGCCATATAGCAGGGTGGGGAGGACCACTGCTCGATATACGTGTAACTTTGTAGATAATTTCAACTCCCTACAGCTGAAGACACCGTTTCGGAGTCTGCCAAAGGCTTGAGATGCACATCTGAACCGATGTTGAATCTCTTCATCGATGTTTGGGTGGTGGACAGGTGGGAGCCGAGATACCGAAAGTGGGTAACATTAGAAAGGGTAGTACTCTACCATTAAGCTAGAGGGATGGTGGAGGTGTGGCTGAACCAGGGGCAGGTTGAAGGAGAATCTGAGTCTTGTGTACATTCACCTCAAGGCCGAAGTGTGCATACGCATCTGCGTAGGTGTTCAGGATCTCCTGTAGGTCGTGTTCAGTGTGAGGGACAAGGTTAGGTCGTCTGCATACTGAAGTTCAGCAATGGAAGCTGCCGACACCTTTGTTCCTGCCTGGAGTCGTCTTATGTTGAAAAGACCCTTCATCCGGTACTCGATGTCCACCCTCTCAGCTAAATTTGCGCTGGCACGAGTAAGGAATGCAGCCAAGAAGATGGAAAAGAGAGTTGGTACCAGTACACACCCTTTTTTAACTCCCGTTTGGATGGGGAACTCAGACTGGGTGCCGTTGTGCAGGACACTGCCGTTCATGCCATCATGGAGTTGCCTCACAATGGCGATGAATTTTGGTGGGCAGCCAAAATAGTTGAGGGTCCACCAGAGGTCTTCCCTGTTAACCGAGTTGAAGGCCTTGGTTAGGTCGATGAAAGCCATGTACAGGTCAAGATGCTGTTCTCTGCACTTTTCCTGTATCTGGCAGGCAGCAAAGATCATGTCAGTGGTGCCACGTAATCGTCTAAAGCCACACTGAGATTATGGGAGGAAGTTTTCCGCCTCAGGAAGAAGTCTGTTTAGGGGGACTCTGGTGATAATTTTGCCAGCTACGGACAGAAGCGAGATCCCACGGTAGTTGCTACAGTCTGACCGGTACCCCTTGTTCTTATAAATATTGACGCTGGAGGCGTCGTTAAGAGCTTGGAGGATTTCCTCCTTTTCCCATATATTCTCCAGGAGAGAGTGGTGACGGTTGGTAAGCAGAGGTCCTCCTGCTTTATACACCTCGGCTGGGATTCCATCAGACCCTGAAGCCTGTGCCTGTATATACATCATGTTTTGTTTTTGACGCTATGAATACTATTCCTCAATATATACAGGGGTATTTACTTTTTTATTAATTCAGCCTATTATTACCTCCCTAGATCAGTTTGTTTTGATAACCCGAGATCAAGGTCACATTTCTCGTCTATACCTATTATTACCTTTCCTTCAGTAACGTTGTTTTGATTTGCCAAGATCATTTCGATGTTTAAGAACTCCAAAATCTGACTACCGCCAAAGGTGTATACACAGTGCGTTTGTATAAAAAGAGAATGTCTCATCCTCTCTAGCAAACTGCCAACTTTTTGTACGACAAAGAGCGAGGGAAGAACATGCAAAACAAACACATTTAACTACAAACACACCAACCCCAGTTTTCATCCACACTCCGTATTCAGATCCCGCCAACACTCCCGCCTACTGCTGCTTGACGTTTATTGGTTGGTTAGGCGAATGTCATATTTACAGCTTAATGCTGATTCGCTGGATGAGTATATGACGTGTTACCTGCTCGATGGCTTAGTGGTCGGGCGGGTTGGTGACGTGTTCACCGCAGGGTGCTGATTGGGCGAACAAGGAATGACGTATTGACATCAGCGCTATTAAAATCTTGAGAATTCATAAATGTGCCAGTTGCTAAGTGATTTTTTTGCTTACGGTTATAAATACACTTGACCTAAGACAAAGGCACACGAACAAGTGCATACACTGACGAAAGGCAAATACACATTACAGTACTTACAGTATACATAACATACTCTACATACAAACAGCGAATATATCGATTGTATGTATTACTATCCACAGAACATAGTATAGTTGAAGTGATCCATTAATGCTTGTTATATTAAACCACAAACTTTGGCATTTATCTGTATACAGTACATTTGTTATTATTTAGTACCCAAGGTTAAGCAATAAGTATTTAATTATGGTAGTTATCCTTGGTCTAATTGTCTTCCTGTTTACCACTGTATACCTGCACCGTTCAGGTACATTGTATACCGGCACCGTTCAGGTACATTGTATACCTGCATTGTCTATATACATGTTGACTTTTATGTTAAATACGTTTAAGCGTATATGGCAATTTTACTGAATGATTATCTATCTAACACACACACACACACACACACTCAGGAGCCTGTGCATTTTACAAGTAGACAGGCATCCTCGTGAGAGAGAGAGAGAGATCCTCCATATCATGGAAAAAAAAAACCCAATTCATCAAATGTCGCAAAATAAATGGAGCCAGTAATTCCTTCACATACTGTACACGCTTACAACCTGGAAATATCTAAAATAAATGCGTAGTTTTTGTTGACTTGTTTTCGTTACTATTATTTCTACCACAAAAACTACTACTACTACTATTAATATGATAGTCCAAAACAACGTGTAAAGCAACAACATTTACTTTTACGGATCACCTGAAGAATAACCATCCTAACCTAATCTACTACTACCTGTACTATTAATAATGACTACTAATATTAATGCTACTATTAATGCTACTCTTGCTAATCACTACTCCTAACTACTACTACTACTACTACTACTACTACTACTACTACTACTACTACTACTACCACTACTAACCATTACTTATAATACTGTACTAATAATAACAACAACAACTACAATAAACATTCTAATACAGTAATTCTCACAAGACAAAATAAAATAAGAAATGTTAAACTTACATCAAAATACCGTAAAAAAAATTGGTAATAACATTAATAACGACAATATAATTATAACTCCCGTGTACAGATGGGAGTGTGGTAGTGAATGACTCAATAACAAGACCGTAAGGTTGAAACACACGACAGGAGTAAAATTCCCAACGTCCGCTTATGCTTCCTCTGCCACCACACTCCTATAGCCACATAAATGTCGTTTGTTTGTGCCACTCGTCTTGTCCCAAATCTAATTATTTAAACATATACGACTCTTGTGTATCTTAGGAGAATGGTGTCCTTGAGAAAGAGAAAAAATAAAAAAAGGAGACATAGGGGCACGAGAGACGTAGAAGGCGTGGGCGGCTTGGGGACGTGGGGGCGTGGGTTGATACAGGTAAAGGGGTGGGCCCAGGTATTGTCCTTGGTGGCCCCCTCAGTGTTCATGTCGAGGATCACACCCAGTCTCTTCCATGACTCCCAGACACCACCTCAGCCTTCATGTAAGACGTGAAGAACATCTATCCATTGACACTCCTGGCCTACAGGAGGTAGCCAGTGGCACTCTTCCTGGCCTACAGGAGGTAGCCAGTGGCACTCTTCCTGTCCTACAGGAGGTAGCCAGTGGCACTCTTCCTGCCCTACAGGAGGTAGCCAGTGGCACTCTTCCTGTCCTACAGGAGGTAGCCAGTGGCACTCTTCCTTGTCAATAGGAGGTAGCCAGTGGCACTCCTATCCTACAGGAGGTAGCCAGTGGCACTCCTCCTATCCTACAGGAGGTAGCCAGTGGCACTCCTCCTATCCTACAGGAGGTAGCCAGTGGCACTCTTCCTGTCCTACAGGAGGTAGCCAGTGGCACTCCTCCTATCCTACAGGAGGTAGCCAGTGGCACTCCTCCTGTCCTACAGGAGGTAGCCAGTGGCACTCCTCCTGTCCTACAGGAGGTAGCCAGTGGCACTCCTCCTATCCTACAGGAGGTAGCCAGTGGCACTCTTCCTGTCCTACAGGAGGTAGCCAGTGGCACTCTTCCTTGTCAATAGGAGGTAGCCAGTGGCACTCCTCCTGTCCTACAGGAGGTAGCCAGTGGCACTCCTCCTATCCTACAGGAGTAGCCAGTGGCACTCTTCCTGTCCTACAGGAGGTAGCCAGTGGCACTCTTCCTGTCAATAGGAGGTAGCCAGTGGCACTCTTCCTGTCCTACAGGAGGTAGCCAGTGGCACTCTTCCTGTCCTACAGGAGGTAGCCAGTGGCACTCCTCCTATCCTACAGGAGGTAGCCAGTGGCACTCTTCCTGTCCTACAGGAGGTAGCCAGTGGCACTCTTCCTGTCCTACAGGAGGTAGCCAGTGGCACTCTTCCTTGTCAATAGGAGGTAGCCAGTGGCACTCTTCCTGTCCTACAGGAGGTAGCCAGTGGCACTCTTCCTTGTCAATAGGAGGTAGCCAATGGCACTCCTCCTATCCTACAGGAGGTAGCCAGTGGCACTCTTCCTGTCACAGAGAGGTAGCCAGTGGCACTCCTCTATCACAGGTAGCCAGTGGCACTCCCCCATCCCTACAGGAGAGTAGCCAGTGGCACTCCTCTGTCCCCTACAAGGTAGCCAGTGGCACTCCTATCCCCTACAGGAGGTAGCCAGTGGCCTCCTCCTATCCTACAGAGAGGTAGCCAGTGGCACTCCTCCTATCCTACAGGAGGTGACCAGTGGCACTCCTCCTATCTGGGAGAGTATGGTGGCACTCCTATCCTGAGGTAGCCAGTGGCACTCCTCCTATCCTACAGGAGGTAGCCAGTGGCACCACTCTATCCTACAGGAGGTAGCCAGTGGCACCACTCTATCCTGGGGAGGTAGCCAGTGGCACTCTATCATACAGGAGAGGTAGCAAGTGGCACTCCTCCTGTCCTACAGGGAGGAGGTAGCCAGTGGCACCACTCCTATCCTACAGGAGCCAGTGGCACCACTCCTATCCTACAGGGGAGGTAGCCAGTGCACTCTCCTATCCTACAGAGGTAGGTAGCCAGTGGCACTCCTCCTATCCTACAGGAGGTAGCCAGTGGCACCACTCCTATCCTACTGGAGGTAGCCAGTGGCACTCCTCCTATCCTACAGGAGGTAGCCAGTGGCACTCTTCCTGTCCTACAGGAGGTAGCCAGTGGCACTCTTCCTGTCCTACAGGAGGTAGCCAGTGGCACTCTTCCTGCCCTACAGGAGGTAGCCAGTGGCACTCTTCCTGTCCTACAGGAGGTAGCCAGTGGCACTCTTCCTGTCCTACAGGAGGTAGCCAGTGGCACTCTTCCTTGTCAATAGGAGTAGCCAGTGGCACTCTTCCTGCCCTACAGGAGGTAGCCAGTGGCACTCTTCCTGTCCTACAGGAGGTAGCCAGTGGCACTCTTCCTTGTCAATAGGAGGTAGCCAGTGGCACTCCTCCTATCCTACAGGAGGTAGCCAGTGGCACTCCTCCTATCCTACAGGAGGTAGCCAGTGGCACTCCTCCTATCCTACAGGAGGTAGCCAGTGGCACTCCTCCGATCCTACAGGAGGTAGCCAGTGGCACTCCTCCTATCCTACAGGAGGTAGCCAGTGGCACTCCTCCTATCCTACAGGAGGTAGCCAGTGGCACTCCTCCTATCCTACAGGAGGTAGCCAGTGGCACTCCTCCTATCCTACAGGAGGTAGCCACTGGCACTCCTATCCTACAGGAGGTAGCCACTGGCACTCCTCCTGGTCTACATGAGGTAGCCAATGGCACTACTCCTGGCCTACAAGCGGTAGCCACTGGCACTCCTGGCCTACAAGAGGTAGCCAATGGCACTCCTCCTGGTCTACATGAGGTAGCCAATGGCACTCCTCCTGGTCTACATGAGGTAGCCAATGGCACTCTTCCTGGCCTACAGGGGGTAGCCAAAGGCACTCCTCCTGGCCTACAGGAGGTAGCCACTGGCACTCCTCCTGGCCTACAGGAGGTAGCCACTGGCATTTACCCTGACCTGTAAGAGGCAGCTAGTGGCACCAATCCTGAATAAGACAGGCAATGACATGGTCTGAAATATTCACTTTCACAGTTTTGAAGATTAAGTGTTGAAACTTAGTAAGGAGGTGCACATGGCCTAGTGAACGTTCAGACATTATCTCCTGTCTCCACCATAATACAGCAATAATAATAATAATAATAATAATAATAATAATAATAACTGGTCTTTTTTCTCAAAAGTGCCAGTTCTTCTAAAGAATTCACTAGTGCTCAAAACACTAAAACATCAAAGACTTGTAAAGAAATAAAAAATATTGCACTACAAAAAAGATAAAAAAAAATGACAGTTCGACTAATATCATTCACATACAGTACTGTACACTGTACTGTACTGTACCCTTAAGTTTTAATACTTCCTAAACCCTGTAATTCTCCATCATTGTACCCTGTTCAAAAAAAGAAAGGTCTAGTTGTATATTAAAGACCTCCACAGAAGTCGGCTGCTTCATAATAATAATAATAATAATAATAATAATAATAATAATAATAATAATAATTAACGGTTTATTGAAAGAGCTTGGCAGCCAGAAGGCTGAAAATATACAGTTACATATTTGGGGAATGGGTTTCGAATTACAAATAATATACAAGTAACATAAGTGACACAAATAAGACATATAATAACTAGATGGTGAAAAGCTCAAACTACAGTTCATTTCAACATAGTGACAGTGCAAGGAGTAGTGTTTACTGGGAGTGAATACACTGGTTTATTACAAGTTATTGATAATTTTTACAATGGTTGGGACTGGGCTGTTCTTTTAGCGATCAGTTCGTGCACGTATGGGCTGGATGCGGTTGTGGTGTCGAACAGCAATTCTCGGACTAGGGATCTCAGGTGGTAGTAGTAGCCGGTGTCGAGGATGGTGTAGAAGCTTCTTACCAAATTTGCAGATGAGGTCGTGGTGATGGTCAGTAATAGTCGAAAGGGTCAGTGTGTTGAGCGCTTCTTGATATGTGGAGTAGGAAGGGGAGAGAATAATCTTGCATGCCCTCTTTTGCACTTTTTCTAGGTGTTTCTGTTGTGTGGCATTTAGGGAGGAAGACCAGGTGGGGGAGGCATAGGTGAGCTTGGGAAGTATGAATGTTGTGTAAACACTGAGGAGCTCGTGTGCAGGAACTCCGAGGGACTTGAGTCGGCGGAGGAGGTGGAGACGAAAACTGGAGGATTTGACAACTTCACTGACGTGTGGTTTCCAATTTAGTTTGTTGTCTATGGTGACGCCGAGGAGCTTCGTGGAATCTACAACCTGGAGTGTGTTCGGATCTAGAGTAATGGAAGGAGGTGGGACAATGTCGGAGGAGAGGTTGATGTGCATAACCATGGTCTTGGTATGGTTGATGGTGACATGGTTGTTGGTGGCCCAGTTTTGGAGACTGTTCAATAAATCCTGAAGGGCGGTATAGTTGGGAGCAGAATTGTTGACGCTGATCCCAATGGTGGAGTCGTCGACATATTTCCTGGGTGCTGTATAGGAAAAGGATCTGGCAGCAAAAGAACAACCATACTGCTCAAGGCATGAAGGATCACCACTACTATGCAAAATCATTTCAGAATATATAGTCAGTGGAATTATAGTACAGTACTGTTATTTCCACGCTCACCTGGTCCGATAGCTGATTGGTTCATAGAAAATTCAAACTAAATGTGCTCACAAGCAGATCTGTTATTATCTAAAATAATGTCAAATATCTGGACTCTCAAAATGCAAATAATTTCAAGGCATTAGCACTTCAGAGAGGACGTTAGAAAAGTTTAAATATGTATCATAAAAGGTCGATATAAACATGGGCTTATACGCAGTCCAGCGGAGGTAAAACGCTCAAGGGAACCATAGACGAGGGGCGTTACTTATAGGCCAGGTTAGTGTGGAAAGGGTCTAGTAGGTTGGCCAAATACTTAGGTCACCAAACATTAGTGTCTTAAAAGTCATTAGACAGAGTTTTAACTCTTTCCTAGCTTTAATTGGAAGACAATACAATTCAATCAAGAATGAGGTAGTGGGAAAACAAAAATAAGCCTAGTAACTCTGTTTGAACTTTCTTCAGAAGATAATTAGGGAGGCAGACCCATAGAGTTACAATACTGAATCCAAGACAAAATAAGTGAATGTAATAGTGTCACAAGACAATGTCTGTCCAAAAACTGTTTAATAACATATGAATTTTGAATACGAAAGTTGCAACTCTTAACCACTAAATCCATATTCTCTTTAAAATTCAGTTTTGAGTCAAAGTACACTCCAAGATTATGAACAGAATCAACAGGACTGAGTTATACTTCTCCAATGTTTAAAGAACCAAAATCATCTGTGCCGTCTCCCCTCCCATTTCCGTGGATGACGATAATCTTTGATTTACCGTCATTCAGCTTAAGCTTTCTCCTAGCCATCCAAATCTTATTATCAGACATCAAGGATTTCATTATCCCCTTTACCCTCAACATTTATTATTTTCACCTAAAGCTGTGTACCATTGGCATAGAAATGGTAGGCAACACCATGAGCAACCAGCAGAGATACAAGACTACTGGTATAGACTGTAAACAGAAGTGATCCCAAAGCTGATCCCTGTGGGACTCCAAGCTGCAAAGGGACCAGGTCTGAAATAGTTCCACCAACCATCATACATTGAGATTACTCTGACAAATAAGACTCAAGCAGTGAGAGTGCATCATCACAGACACCAAATGACCAAAGATCTCGAAGCAACAGACAATGATCCACTGTGTTAAAAGCTGCAGAGAGATTCAGCAAGACCAGAAGGGAGGACTGTCCTGTACAAGTGTTTATAGTATTACCAAATCGTTATAAATTTTACAAAGGCAATTTCAGTTGAATGATGCTTCCTATAGGCTGACTAGACCTGAGGGATCACTCCACTTCTCTCTTAACTGAGGAAGTAAGTGATCCAGCATAACACACCATCATTGATATGAATGAGAGATTGGAGACCGGATAATAAATTGACATACGTATTTTCAGTATCAAGACCAGGTTTCTTAAAAATTGGACGCAATGAAGCCCGTTTCTCAGATCGCACAAAATTGCCCTTTGCAATTTTGTTTTTTATGATTCTACAAATAAAGTCTGCAGCATGTTCATAAGCAAATAATACCTTAAGATTCATTTATAGGCTCAAGACGACAAGAAAAAATTATTCAAGTCCTTGATATAGCGCAGAATGTTGTTTACCCCTACAGGACAAAACGATGAAAGAATGAGGTCTATGGCATAACTCCGCTGAAATTCAACTGGAAATTCCTCAATAAAAGAAACATCAATGTCATTTCTTATATACATCACATTTAAGAAACGAGGAAAGATCTGAAGCAAGCTGAGCATCTGAAGTGGAAGAAAACATAGTAGTTCCAGACCTCTGGCCCAACAGCCCATTTATAATTGCATAAAAAAATTTCTGATGACTACCACAAGAGGCTACTCCGACTTCTGTAGTACTCAACTTTGCGTGACTGCACCGAACAAACAACAGCCCTACCTGCAGTCAACTAGTCTGTTCTGGTATGGTCTGTTGGCCACCTACGCCACTCTAGTTCAGTTAGAGCTGCAATTTGGTAGGGAGGTGCAGATGGCATAGGGAATAGTTGTATACTATATCTTGTCCTTCCACCCAGGTGAAGCTGGGCAACTCAACTCATACCATTATAATTTTCAACTTTCCTCAAAACTTTAGCTGCCTTTTCTGTTATTTTTAACCTTTGTCACTTGTCTACTTCTCACCTGGAGCTCCTCATATACTGTACACCAACATTTACTGTCCTCACTAACTGACTCATGTCCTAAACTTCTGAGTCTTTAAAGTCAGCTAATGATTTTTTTTTTAAATCCCAACTTTATTACCTATACCCCCATATTTTTTGTGGGATGGATCATGAGGTATGCAAGACTGGTTTAAAAAAAAATAGGGTGGTGGGTGAGTGGTGTAAGACCAGTGCAAAATACAACAGGGAAGGTCTCAAGCAACAAACAGAAAAACTCCACACACACTTGTTCATAATCCTCAACAAACCAAAGGATTAATTTTTTTGTGGAAAATGGATGCAGCTTCATATACAAATTAGAAACTCAAACCACACATCAGTAATGTGGTATTAAACAATGCTCCAGCAATTCAACAATATTTATTACAAACTACAAAACAAAATATCCTCACAAAAAACAACAGCATATATTTAGCTATCAAATATAAATAATTTAAAATTCTTATGAATGGGTGTACATGTGTGTGTTTCTTCAGTGTTCCACAAGTTAATGCTAATAAAAGGTCTGCATCTTAAAGTAAAGGAACACAGTGGACAGGAAGTCTAGTCAATTTCATCATCCATAGGCATGAAGGTACCATAATACAGGTTGTACCTCTCTAGTCTGGCATTCTGTGGTCCGGAACGATTTTAGTTTGTCCAATAGGTAGATAGGCAGCTTTTTTTTTTTTTATCTGAATTATTATTATTATTACAGGAGTATTAAATTTTTGCCCCTCAGGCCCCAATGTGGGTCAGTGACCTATGCCCGGGTGGGCTAATCCCCTTAAAAAAAAAAAACAAAGCCGCGGGAAATTAAGGTTTGTTTACATCCGGCAGTTCGGCTGCTCTCTCTCTCTCTCTGCTTGTCTATACAGAGTACAACATTTAACCCTTCAATATATATGAGCAGTAAATAAGTGTTGCTTTCATATTCTTATGTAGAGTAATGACGATATGTTTTCACATGTGCGCACTTACATACGAGCAGTCTCACTTTTTTTTTTTTACCATTAATGGTTAGCTACTTATATTGTTCCATTTATTAACATTAAATAACATTACAGGTACTTCAAGCAACCATATTCATTTTTTACATTAATTTTACTACAGCTAAACTCAGGGTCTTATTTTCTTCAGTTTTATATGTAGAACCAATCAGTCACTGGTTTCGTAAGCTTTAACATAAACAATGCCGGCAGCCGTCTCGTCTCCTCTAATATTCCACGTATTATTAATAAATTGTATTGTTAATTTTGCACACACGTACATTAATTCAATAAAAACAAATTCAGAAACATTAATTAAAATATATATGAACAGTAAATAAGTGTTGCTTTCATATTCTTATGTAAAGTAATGACGATATGTTTTCACGTGTGCGCATGCGCACTTACATATGCGATCTCTCTTTTTCTTTACCATTATCGTTAGCTACTTCTATTGTTCCATTTATTAACATTAAATAACATTACTTAAAACAACCATATTAATTTTACTACAGCTACAACCAAGGTCTTATTTTCTTCAGTTTTATATGTAGAACCAGTCAGTCGCTGGTTTTGTAATCAACGAAAACAATGCTGTGTCATTTCCTCGTGTGTTTTAATTTTCTACGTATTATTAATGAATTGTATTGCTCATTTTGCACACATAAACATTAATTCAATAAAAAAGACATTCAGTAATAAACAATAATGAATCTTTTGTACATAAGAGAAATGACGCTGTTTACACGATTATGCACGTTGGCGGGCCGTTCAAACCCGTCGAAATTCAAGTTTCCGCCGTCAAAATTTTTATTTATTTATTTTTTTGTGTGTTCCAATAAAATACGTTAAGAATTAAAAACTCGCGAAATTTGAGAAGCTACTATACGACATTTAACCCTTCAATATGTCTTCAAAGAGACCATGACGCAGAGAAAGTGGTGCTAGTGCTTCCAGGCATAAGCACAAGTCACTATCTATCCAGGAAAAGGGTGAATTTTCATGGTCCGGCAATTTCCATGGTCCGGCACCGGTCAGGTCCTGAGGTTGCCGGACTAGAGCGGTACAACCTGTACATGTTATCTCTGTACAGTACTGTATATGCCATATTAATCTTACAGTAACTAGAGAGCCATATAAAGGGGTTACTGGTTAATGCCTTATTGTACCAGTAAATAGACCTTCTTTTACTTGAGGGCAAGTACCAGCTTGAACACTTTTCAATAACAGACACAATGACTGTAAACCTCAAAATATCTTTTCAAATCACCAGAAAATTAAAAGGTTCAGCTTGAGAATTATAAAGGTTATTCAGCTGCCAACTCCTAAAAAGTAATATGATAGCCAGTTATAGTCTTTATTTTATCCTTTATATAAGACTACAGAGAATAAATTAAACTAATCTTACTTTGGGTGCAACAAACAGTGTGGTTAAAATATAAATAGACTTTTTGGTTGACAAACATACAAATAATTAAATGGTGAACTGTCATTAGGTTAGTTTTCAAAATCTAGTGACAACAAAAAACAACACAGGTACAGTACTTTCTACAGAAAATAATAACATTTGATCCCACTAATATATAAAATAAATTAAAATATTCTTCATCATGGATCTGCTCTATGTAAGGTAGAAGACCTAAAGAGGATTTCAAGACGCTGAGGGTCAATGGCTCTGCAATTTGCATAATGTAAATCATTAAACAAATGAAACTAAGTAGAGCAACTTGTGAGGGACAAATTGAGTACAGATATGTTGAGATATTAACAAAGGTCGAGTTATAATTTCTTATAATTAAATAAATGGTAGATTCAAGAACAATATGATACAGCCAAGGCACCACTCAACTCAATTATTTTGGCTGGTAGTCAGTTCATAATGAAAACTCAGCTTAACATAAAGATTGTCAATAATATTTAGGTTTGTTTTCATCTATCACTTAAATTATACAACCTTGTATTCACAGCACTGAGGTGTGTAACATGAGCTAGAGCTTCAGAACTATGACACATTTATATTAAAGTCCCAAAAGTTCTCCGAGTTGTGCTTTGGTGTCATCGGGAGAGGTAACCGTGTGGCCAATAGTGCGAGAATCACTATAAATCTCGTGGTCATTTCCACCTTTGTTGGTTTTGTCCCCAAAGAAGTGAATAGTCTGTGGTAAAATAAAACTTGAATTAGCACACGAATTTGAAATGACAAAACTCAATGAATGAAGGATGAAGAAATGAATAAGTTTTGTCTAAAACTACACAATATTAAATGTTTGTGACACTTAAGCAGATGTTTGAGGTCATGGAGCCAACACAGCCGTGCAGTATTGTTTTTCATGTCCCTCTTGGTGCCAGGGTAAATATATTAATACATAGGCTATGAGTTTAATCTCTATACTGCAATACCTCTTTCATCAATCAACACCAAAGCAGAATAATAATCTAAACTTTCAATAACGTATATATATATATATATATATAGAGGGTCAACTCTCAAACATTGCCATAAATTACAGTGATCCATATTTGTCACAAGACCACTGAGTTGTCTAGATTAAGTTACCTGCATTTGTGTGATCAATTGTTCAAAATTTTCCTTGCAACAACTTCAAAGATGTTGCAAGTTTACCAGAAATCATTAGACTTATTGTATGGTTACCTGTACTTTGTTAAATATGCAAACCACATCTACAGACATTTCAACAGTACAGTATATCACAAAGAAAGGCTAATGCTGCTCAACTACTTTTATATATTCTAACAACAAATAATTAGTTCCTCAGATCAGCTTACCTTGAAGTCCTTTTCTACGAAGCGTAAACAGTAAGTCTTATCCCAGCCTTTGGGGAATACATCGAAGCTAATTTGGCCACCTGGTAAAATAAAATTAGTTCTTATCATATCACTGAGCATCTTTTGAGCCCATCCTGTATAAGTGTTGACAAAATTCATTATAAATCATACATCATGTGGATATAATTTCTTTATCATCCTTTGCAAGTTTTTCTGCTGCAACTCAAAAGTAACATAACACAACAAAGTTCTAAGCTATCCATCTGATTATCCATATGACTTCATACAGCCCAGCAGCACTTAGTGACAGCATGTCTTTCACAAAAACCACTTGACACTATGTTTGTTATGCTGCATCCATCTTTTAAATAGTGTTTTGTGTTCTAATACAGCCACTGACTCAATAGTTCTCTGAGGTTGCCACAATGATTATGAAAAAATTAATAATCTGCCAAAAAACACCAAACTCAAGCCACTGATCTCCACATTTACACTTTGGTTACACATTACCTTCATCCTCGAAAAGCCCCCAAAAATACCAAAATACATTCATTAGTTTCTGAAATATGGCTCTTCACTCCCTACTACTACTACTACTACCGTCTGTACTACAAAAAACATTTCCAATACATTATTCTGAAGGAACACCTCTAATAACTAACTCATAATCACTTCCACTTTGCAATACCCAAGACCATAGGCAAAAAAATGGGGGGGAGTTGTAAATGGTATTGCTGAATTGATGTGTGATTATGCAGTGTATGGTGATGGTTAATGACTAACAATTTGGGAATAGTGTAATGTATATTTCACCCTTCTTTGAGAAAGTATAGAGGCATACAACAGTGTACCAAAGTATAGACAAAATAATTTGTAACCTGCACTCTAGTGTTCAGTACGGTGAACAATCTACAACAATGCCTTTAACTCAACCATTTTTTTTTTTACATTCATACAACCCAATTTCCACCATGATACATGACAGCCACTACCAAATCAACTTACCTATCGAGAACACTAGACCAGAATCAGGAAACTCTGCCTCCAGTGCCTTCACAAACTTTTCTCGGATATGGTGCTCCTGGAAAACATACAGCCATACAGTTAATACCGACAAGAATAATAACAAAACTGTCAACTTATATCACCAACACATTCTTAGTGGCTTTCCCAGATGAAAATGTTTACTGAATAAGAAAAGTGTCTGGAGAATTTATAGTTGTTGTCTTAGCACTTTTCTGTTGCTTTCTATATATACCTGTGTTGCACCACTTTCCCTTACTATTTCCATTCGAAATTTCTGTACCTCACGATCATCCCAAAATTAAAGTGGAAGAGGAATAAAGATAAAAGATACATAATAATATGTAAACATTTTCAATAATTGCAAATGTTACAGTTAATGGAAACTGATAAGTAATTATCAATGCAGTACAGGTTGTACCTCTGTAGTCCGGCATTCTGTGGTCTGGAAACTCCCGTGGTCCTGAACGATTTTATTTTGTCCAATAGGTAGATAGGCAGCTTTTTTTTTTATATCTGAATTATTATTACAGGAGTATTAAATTTTTGTCCCTCAGGCCCCAATGTGGGTCAGTGACCTATGCCTGGGTGGGCTAATCCCCTTAAAAAAAAAAAACAGCCACGGGAAATTAAGGTTTGTTTACATCCGGCAGTTCGGCCTCTCTCTCTCTCTCTGCTTGCCTATACAGAGTACAACATTTAACCCTTCAATATATATGAGCAGTAAATAAGTGTTGCTTTCAGATTCTTATGTAGAGTAATAACGATATGTTTTCACATGTGCGCACTTACATACGCGCAGTCTCACATTTTTTTTCACCATTAATGGTTAGCTACTTATATTGTTCCATTTATTAACATTAAATAACATTACAGGTACTTCAAACAACCATATTATTTTCTTACATTAATTTTACTACAGCTAAAATCAGGGTCTTATTTTCTTCAGTTTTATATGTAGAACCAATCAGTCACTGGTTTCGTAAGCTTTAACATAAACAATGCCGGCAGCCGTCTCGTCTCCTCTAATATTCCACGTATTATTAATAAATTGTATTGTTAATTTTGCACACACATACATTAATTCAATAAAAACAAATTCAGAAACATTAATTAAAATATATATGAACAGTAAATAAGTGTTGCTTTCATATTCTTATGTAAAGTAATGACGATATGTTTTCACGTGTGCGCATGCGCACTTACATACGCGATCTCTCTTTTTTCTTTACCATTATCGTTAGCTACTTCTATTGTTCCATTTATTAACATTAAATAACATTACTTAAAACAACCATATTAATTTTACTACAGCTACAACCAAGGTCTTATTTTCTTCAGTTTTATATGTAGAACCAGTCAGTCACTGGTTTTGTAATCAACGAAAACAATGCTGTGTCATTTCCTCGTGTGTTTTAATATTCTACGTATTATTAATGAATTCTATTGCTCATTTTGCACACATAAACATTAATTCAATAAAAAAGACATTCAGTAATAAACAATAATGAATCTTTTGTACATAAGAGAAATGACGCTGTTTACACGATTATGCACGTCGTCTGCACGTTGGCGGGCCGTTCAAACCCGTCGAAATTCAAGTTTCCGCCGTCAAAATTATTTATTTATTTATTTTTTTGTGTTCCAATAAAATACGTTAAGAATTAAAAACTCGCGAAATTTGAGAAGCTACTATACGACATTTAACCCTTCAATATGTCTTCAAAGAGACCATGACGCAAAGAAAGTGGTGCTAGTGCTTCCAGGCATAAGCACAAGCCACTATCTATCCAGGAAAAGGGTGAATTTCCATGGTCCAGCACCGGTCAGATCCCCGGACTAGAGAGGTACAACCTGTACTATAATAACAATATCCATAATACAGTAATAGCAATAACCTCTGTACAAGGTCTATTGCAGGGAATTGGGTCTAAAGACTACTGAATCTCAGATAACATGTCCTTGCACCATCACATAGTGTTAATGAAAGCTCTTCATTTAGATATTTTCTTTAAGTTTCTAGCCCAGAACCAGGTGTCTCTACTCTAGTAAATACAAGCAGTAAGTCCTTTATTTATGTTGTAATGTTCCTAAAACCCCAATCACTAAAACTGGGGTGTGACTGGGTGAGAAAAGTGTTCAGCTTACTGCTACACAATACATGCTTCTTGGGTGATGGCAGCCCTGCACAGGGAGTATCTGGTGAAGGTATATCTCATAGGTCTCTTGCATCAACTTATAGACCTTCTTTGTCAACAGTGGCTAATGCATCCTTTCCCATGGTTACAGTGTCATTTTTCAAGCTGTCTAAATTTTTTCTTTTCTTATAATGAATTGAAATTGTTTGAATATTCAAATGTACATTCTACTTATGCTTGTAATATACTGCTTTGACCTCAATACAAAACTCTTTGTACTTAAGTATGTACTTACATATATATCTAACTAAATATCAGGCCATCACCAGGGAGTGCCAAGATCAATGTATGATTAAACTACATCATTCAAGCTGCACCACAAAGGCTTTTACATCATTGGTTTTACCCAAGATATGACCTCTGTGTCCTTAAACTGACATCAGCTCATGGTCTTGAAAACCATACAAAATTAACTGTTTAGAGCCAAAATAGCTGTTCTAAAAATATGATGTATAAAAGAGACTCATGACCCTACATGTTAGACAGCTTCAGTAGTGTGATGGTTAGCACATCAGTGTGCTGCTCTACTGGCCCGTCTTCCACCACAGGGCACACTGAGCAGGTTACTGTCACATTTCTGGTCAAATAGTGAGGTACTGTACAGTATTAAAAACTTCACCCATGTGACTCAACACCAATCTGAGAGACATTGTGCCTAACAGGAGGACTCCTTCCTTGTGTGGGGGATGTGTTACATGTTACTCTACATCTAGCCACCATCTACTTAGGTTACTACAATTCCTGGAAGGGACAAGGTATCAAGGGATACCTTTGATTAACTTAAGCTGTCTTGTTCAAATTCACACCACAGCAATGATTGAGAGATCAGTTTTTCATCAATAGTTGAATGATTCTGAAGAATATAAATAATTTAAAATTTCATAAATAGTGTTTTTAAAACTCAATTAGCATTCTTTCAACAAATTCATTGATCATCAATACAAGTCTATTCAACTGGTTTGGTGTTCTGAGGAGTTAAAACAGAAGTTTTGACACTTGACAGCCATATAAATAAACTGGTGAGGTAAACTATCCAAAGTAAGGAACTCAATGAGAATTACCCAAGTGGTTCAGTGGTAGACATCAATAACTGATGGATGGCCACAGGAATATTACATGGATTCACCCTGTTGAGCTAATTAATTTAAAATGTTTACTGAAAACAGTCTGATTCTCAACAAAGAACAGTTGTTAGGGTAACTACTGTACTCTATACTCTACCCACCAAGTTCCTGCATGATTCTTAATGATTTGTTATATAATATAACATACAAATACATTAAGGCAAGTAAATTACCACTAAGGAACATAAGCAATTCTTTGTTTCATAACCAGAATTAGAGCCCAATAGAGTTGGGCTCTAATGTTACTGGTTAGGTTGAGTTGGAGGCTTTTAAAACTTAGAACCATTTGATTACTCATCTTTTAATGACGGGGCTGCAATTCTATTTAAATGGACCGTAATGTTTCACATTAGCTTAACCCAAAATCCACCAATACAATATATTATAGTAGAGAGAAATGGTCGAGTAGAATACTAACTCAGTATTAGACAAGACAATGACAATAAAGAAATAAAACTTTTACATGGAGGTGAGTAACAATGTTAATTTCACCTGTACACCTATCATCTTCACTCCTCTCCCACTTTACCGAAGGACAGACCAAAAGATACAGACACCTGAGGATGGGGGAAATGGCAGGTGAGGTGCACAAGAGTAAAGGAATAGGATGGGAACAAGGCAACACAGAGAAACACCCACACATATTTGGTCATATTCTCAATCTTGCGTGTACAACACTTCAATTCCCTGTATAAAATGTACAATTAAATATCAGACCCTAAAAATATGAAAATCAGAAGCAGTGTACAGTACTATATTTACTTTGTCATATTCACCAAACTGGTCTCTCTCTTCCTGTGAACAGCTGCGACCGACTGGGCAAACGTTGATAAGGCCGTTGCGGAACTCAATAAATGTTCCACGCTTTACAGGTAAGGTAATGTCAGCCATGTACCGAAGAGCAAAATTTATGAATTTCTGGAGCTTTTCCTCTCCCATGTGGTTCTGGATACTCTGTAAAATTCAGTAGCTAAGTATAAAAACTACATAGTACAGTAATCACATACAACAAGAGCTGCACCTGGACACTTATGTAATTTTTTGTCTTCCTTCATAACCCTATTCCTGTATGTGTGAGGTTGATCTAACACATACCTAACACAAAACTCCTGAACTTAAATTCCATGAGAACAAGGTAATTTCAGCAGAATCTTGTTAATCCACACACCCAAGGGGCATCCATGAAATAAGGATGTGCATGCTAGATCAGAGGGTCTGACAAAGACAAGTGCTGGGTTGTGTGAGGTGATGGATAACCAGTTGGATATGTTGGGAACTTAAAGTGGAAGGAAAAATAATAGCAGATCTGATAAGATAGAATGAATGAGTAAATATGATTAAGAAACTGTGTTGCTTTTGACTTCTGCCACCTGGTGCCATAGCAGGTAGGAGTTTGAAAGTACAAAGAAAAATAGTTTATCTAAAAATGAATGAAGTGACCCTGAAATTTCATTTTATGGCCAAGGCTGGGGTTAGCCAACTCATGAAGTACAGATGTGAGTCCTGGATTGCAAACTCCAGTTTAACTCTCAATGCCAAATCATCAGACATGCACTATGACCATCTGGCTCAGCCATAGCGGGGGTTTAGGCATCATACCTCTCCAGTTTCAGTTCACTTTCATGCTACCCAGTGGAAAGTGGGAGGATATCTGAGTGACCTAATTTCAGGCTCAACCATAAACAGTGCTCCCTGTAATGGTTCTTGGTTACTAAGGGGAAGAATAACTAATTCATGAATAATAAGTTCAAGTCTGTAAATCTAATGGTTAGGCAGAAGTTTGCAACCAGAACTCATAGCTCTAATTCACGACCTGCCAAGTGAAAGACATGGGCCATAAAGGTATTTAAGTGGAGTAAGAGAGAAAATTTATAGAATGACTTAGGGACACCATAAGAGTGAGATAATGTAGTGTGGATATTCAGAGTAAGAATGTGGAGAAACAAACTCTTACTTGAAACATACAACTTATATAAATAGATTACAGTACTGAATATCACCATTTCAGTCCTAATGAAATTTTGGGAATAAAAGAAAACAAATTCATTATTACATATATATAATTTCCATAATCCACTACGGTATTCACTTTAAAACAAAGATATATTGTACTGTATAACGGATATCCAATAAGATAAAAATTTATCATTAAAATAAGAAACATTGTTTATATATTACAGGACTAACTCCTACAGTAAGTACAATACAGTACTGCATACAACACATAACATAATATAGACACACCTCTTGGTTGAGGAGTTCACCATTCTTATAAGCCACTAAGCCATTCTCAGCAAAAACATACTCAAACTTCATTAGTGCTGTAAGAAAAAATTGCATTAGTAATACAGCACAAGTGAATCCTGACAAATAATAACAAAAAGTCCACCAAATATCATTGAATTCCACTAAATTATGAGGAACCTGAAATCTATGTACAGTACTGTATATTAAAATGTAATCTAAGCCCAGATATACCAGTTGGGTGAACACATGTTTACAGCTCACTCCCAGTGGTGGAAGACTTGCTATATTTGCCACACTTAATGGAGTTTATGTACACAGTTTATGACTTTCAGGGGTTTTAAATTAATAGACTGCTTGTATAGACTGATGTAATGCAGGATAATTAAATCCTTAATATTTTTTTAAATAAGTTTTGGGATCTGCAAGAATATCTGCAGTACCAGAAAACAAAATTACTCTTAACTACAGAGAAGTATTTACTTGAGGAGGATTCCTTATGGAGCCAAGCCTTGCTCCCTATCGAAGGTCCATTTACACATACTAATATGCAGTACAATGAGTCTTAACTACAATTGGGAATACAGTAGTTCAAATCAAGAAGGAGTGACTCATGTTTACTTACTTTGTACTGCACACATTAGTAAGGGACTCTATAACCTCTTATGATTTATATTACAACAGCATAACAAACTAAATCATACTTCTAAGGTAGTAGTTTTCTTTGGTGCACCATCACAGAAAAGGGGTAAACGTTTCAAAGGAGTAAATCTTAAACTGTATGATGTCTTGTACGAATTATACCAGTGTCTGTACATATAATCTTAAGTCTGTATATCAATAGTAGTATTAAGGGAAAATTCAAGGTACCTCTATGATGGTTGGGAAGGCTCAATTGGTTCTTAATAGTGTAATATTGTGAATAAGTGTAAACATGTATGAAGATTATGGTATATACACCTGTGGAAGATTAATAAGCGTAGCTATCTCATGTGCCAGGTAAAAATATACTCGTACAAGTACACCTGTATAATGATCTGACAAAATGATAAGTGTATTAGGTCTAGGTGAAGTGTTGGGGTTGACCTATAAACAAGGGTACAGTGAAATTATTTTATTTACGTCTGTGTGAGGTTAGTACACATCATTATCTCATTTGACGGATACCTATGGACAGCGCCATAATTCATGAATCTTATGAAAGTGGTAAATTCTTGCAAAGTGTCGGGGACGACCCATAAATAGGGGGAAAGTGAGGTGTGATATACCAAGCCAAGAACTAAGGCCTTTGGCCATGTTGGTGCCTAAAACCATGAGGTCCTCAGTTTTGAGACAATGAAATGTGTTAAGAAATTTACCAGAACTGTGACAACTCAGACAGTGATTGTATACAGATGGGGTAATGTAATTTAGAATTAAGGTACAGTACCTGGTATATAATTAAACTGCAAGACATAAGTCACAATACAGAACTTAAGAAACTGTATGTGTGGAGGTAAAAATAGAAACATTGTGATTCATTAGCACCCGTAAGGCCTATGTCCAGGCACTGACGCTGCATGCAGCCTCAGTAACTTGGAACTCTTCATACGAGACAGATCAGTGCCAGTCGGTGTTAAATGAGAGTACTGTACTTAAAGATGTATAGTTAGAGTTTTATATACAGTTTAAAGCCTTGCATAATGTTATACTGTGGTTGATATCATAAGTTAGTTAATAAGTTTTGTAATTTTTGTGTGTTAATACAAAGACAGTAGGGCAAGTAAATGTAGTTGTTTACACTCAGTAACTCGACTCATCATATGAGAAAGATATAGACAGTGTGAGCCTGTGTGTGTGGGTGAGTTGGGCATGCCATGGAGAGAGATGTGATGTCGGAGGAAATGCCAGGCTCAGAAACCACTGTTGTGTGAGAGGAACCCACCTAGTGTAGTGGGTTATGCCTGTGGCCACTGTGCAACCTCCCTAAGGATCTCTGGGTGTCTCATGCTCGTAGTACCCCGGGTGTGAAGATGTGTCAGGTATGGTCCTTGTGTGACTGTGCGTTGATTTACCTAATCTACCTTGAAAGAGTATAAGGTGAGAAAGATACTTGCTGTGTGTTAATTTGGTACTGAGGGTAAGCTACATTACCTGTCTGTATTACTGAATGTACTTTTATTCAGGTGCTATTGAGTTATAACATAAGCATGTGAGATATTTTTATTTTGTGAGTGACCTAAGTTGAGGTCAGTTATTTTGAATGGTGAAGAAGTGACTTCAGTTGGGAAGGTCAGCAATTTTTGTATTGTGTCTTAAGTATAGTAGTATTATCAGCACAGTATGTATATGTAAATTTAAAAACATTTTATTAATAAATAAGTTAAGAATGATGAATGATGTTTCACCCTTCTTTCAATTGTAAAGTTTGGTTAAGGAAAACCCCAAACTCACAATGATAGACCTTCTTTGCCCACTAAAGGAAAAGAAACCAGATTCCAGTTTTACACCACCTACACTGTCCTGAGGTCTGGTGGCAGCAACCAAAGTTTAAAAAGTAGATTAAGTAATGATTAGATATTAAGTAAAGTAAATTAAGTGAACAAGGGAACAGTAGTATAACTGTACTGTATATGATTTACAATTACCCGGTACTTGGCCTGAACTACAATTACCCAATTTCTAAAGTTTGTTCTCTGCTGTATTATGTATACGTACAGTAGTTAATTTGTAATGTGTATGGCAGGAGTAGGATGATAGTTACTCAGTAAATTATACTCACCATCCATACCACCCAACTGCTCCGCTATCTTCTTCAGGTCAGAGCCTCCCACCAACCCACACACGACCTTCTCCTTCACTTGGGTCATGAACTGGTACATGTCATCAACAATTTTCTGCAAGAGGAGTAACTTTAGCTTCAATCCCTTAGATAGCCCCAAGGACAAAAGAACCAATTATTTTTTATTAATGTAATTCAAAATATTGACCTTCAAATCTGTCACTTGCAAACATGGTTGGGTCAGGTTAGGTTTGCAAGACGTTAGGATCACCATTATCAGTAAGTAAGTGGCTCAACAATAACCACTGCCTAATATTTAACTTGCACTAACCTTCCTGGGTGCGGTCAGTGTGCCGTCAACATCAAATAACAATATCATTTCGGAATTTTGAGCCATTTTTGCTATATATCTGACACGTGAAGCCACAGCTGACTGCACTACTAGGACTGACACGTTGATGATGATGTGTTGTGTTTACATATACCAGGTGGCGGTGATATGATGTCGCCTCTTTAATTAATATTTACTTAAATATTCGTAAAAAATAAGAATAAATTCTCTTATAATAATATGACAAAAGATTAAATGTAAAGAACGTTTGTATAGGGGTAAGGAAGTTCATGATTTACATCGCTTAGTTACCAACACCTAAATAACGTTTTCTTTCTCTTACGTCGTTATACATTACCAAAGTTAATATTTAAGTGCCACGACCACCATTGTAAATAGTTTGTTTTTTAAGGTAAAGTAAATATTTTAAAGTTAATTTAACCCAGAGTAGCTAGACACACGTGAGAAGGGTGACCCTACCAAACACCACAGGTTTCCTCTTGTATTAACACTGGATAGACCGCCCAAACGGCTAGTAAACTGACAAGTGGCGAATATGATATTAAAAAACAAACTGGTGAAGTTCGTGGTATACTTGTAACACTAAGTTTTTCGTAGGTCTCACTAGTTTTCAATGCCATCATAATTACTTTGACCAGCCGCAGATAGCAAAATAAGGGTTAAAGTTACATTAATTAGCTGTAACTTACGTGCAAGCACTGTGATATAATGCAGAAGCTGACAGCGAAGACGCCAGCTCCACTGAGGAGTCCTGACATGACCTCCTGACTTCTTGACGAAGTCAAATCCTTCATGTCAGTTGCTCCTGTCACTGTCAGATCCTTTTGTGAGCTGTCATTTTCACCTGTAAAATTTCAGTTTGTCTCATCACTGTCACCTTCACTTTTCCTAATCACCTGTCACTGTCACCATCACATAACACTCAATTCTCCTGCACCACCACACATAGTTAAGATTTGTAAAAGGTCGACCACGGAATCTCTTTTATATATTTATATAAGAAGATATAGCAAAAAATTAGTCTAATACGTTTCCGTCGCAAATTTATATTTTTCAAGTATTTTGAACTTTTCGAGTATGATCAGCCAATCAGCGTTGCTCTCGGTGTCACGTGATACTGTTGAGCATCGTCTGAGTTTTAGTTAACTAGTCACAAGATAAGAAAGAACCTTTGATTTTGAGTGAAAAGACGAAAGGCCGCCAAGACAAAGAAATCTCCTCACTGTGGCTTCTGTGTAGCTGGACAAACTACAGTACACCTATCAGCGTGGAAGAACTTTTTATTGTATTTTGTAGTGCATTTATCAGGAAAGATTTTAATCATACTGATCTTTAGGGGGCGTATATAGTACCCTCGGTGACATTGGTTACACCCATAGAACTGTCAACTACAGTGAAAATTTTGTGGATCCTTGCTACAGTATATAGAACGACTGCGGAAGGCTATCGAGTTGGGTCCTTCATGCCGGCAAGAAACAAGAACATTATCGACAATATTTCGCTCGGTATTTGTTCCAAGCCGAATACAACCATCACTTCCTCCTTCAAGAAGCATCACTTTATCCTCCAACATGTGTTAATTAAGGTAAGATTTTACGCACCGGGAGGTCCACGCCCCCCCCTGGCTAGGAGGTTAGGTCAGGTCCTTCTGGTTTCGTTGGTTAGATTTCAGTCGGGTTCGTTTCGTCATTTTTTGTGTTTTTTACCCCACAATTTCCCTCAACTTCAAAGCCCTGCCCACTTTGTGCAACCAATATTGTTGGTAAGTGGGGGAAGGGGTCACATCTCTATAACAGTGCATTTGTGACAAATGGTCAGATTCGCTTGAAAAAAACTGTAAATACATTATAAAACCCTAATTTGTTTTCTGTTTTTCATTTCACGATATCGGTGGTAAAATACGGCAGAAGTGTCTTAGAAGAAAATCGCCTTGTTTTTGTCTGACATTACCATTACATAAAAATACCCATATCTAATTATGTCTTCTACTATAATGGCCAGATTAGATTAGGTTTGATTAGGTAAGGCTAGGTTAGGTTTAGATAGGTTTAGGTTAGATTGGGTTAGATTAAGTTAAATTAGGTGAGGAAACATTATATGTATATATATAGTGGTGATATTATAACCTAACCTAACATATCCTAACCTAACTAAACAGAATCAATCAATCACACAGTTTTACAATTTTATTTAACTTTTTATTATCAAAGACAAACTCTAATTTTATGAAGAGTCATATTTAATGATATACTGTTAAATCCCACCCTTACTTCTGTGTTATTTAATTAGTGAAGTTTTAACCTAATTAATCGTTACCTAACCTTTCCTACTTTTTTTTATCAGATTTTAACTTACAAATCTTACTCAACTCTTAAGTCTGGTCAGGATATAGGTTTTAATTGATAAATCTTACCTAACTATATAGATTTTAGTTAAAAAATCTTACCTGTCATAACATTTGTATTTTAATTAATAAACCCTAATGTAATAAAACCTACTCCTTAAATTCACCTTTAACATAGGAACTTTAGTTTACTCTCAAACCTTATGAGTGAGTGTGGGGTCACATAGGCTTGATGGCTCATTATAGAAAAAAACATTACCTTATATTCAGTCTTCGCGTGAATTTCAATATGGATTTTAATTTACCTTACCTAACCCTTGAAAATTGAGTCATGATATATACATTTAAAACCTAAATAATAATAAAAACTACTAATTCTTAAATTTCTCATCACAAGTGGATTTTGATTTACGTAACCCTTAAATTTTGACATTCATTACACACGAATTTCAATTTATCTTCTAAGTGGTGTCAAGTGGATGTACAGTGCATCTAGTTAAGGTAGTCTCATTACAACTCTGATGGTTCTTTTTGTTAGGTTAGGTTAGATGCATTATAACATCTCCACTTACAAGAAATATTCATCGTACGACCATGTGTGAATCCCAATCCTGGTTTCCGCATCAGTTAAAAACATTTGCAGGCGTTAATGGTAAATATGTGTACCTGATATTGGTGCCTTAGTGACTTTAATATATTTTAAATAGAAACAGGACCAGATCCATTTAAATACGCATACATTATATATTTCTATTATATAAACTCACGTCAACATAACGGATCGCCTAAAGATTAGACCCCCAGCTTATTTTACCTTAAGATTAACCATCTAACTTTTAACTTAACTTATCCCATTCTACCCCTCCCCTAAACAGCGTAAGATAAAACGGCTAGAGGTTAATCTTCGGATGATTCCTTTTGCGATTTTATGCATTATCCATTACTAATGATTATAACACGAAACTACACCATTATATACTTTGGATCACATACTTTTATTCTCTTCGTTTCATTTACATATTTTTATCAGTAGATTCCAGTTGTGTGTCGTAAATTCTCCTAATTCTTCTTCTTTTTTCTCCATCCTTTATTTTATCCACTTGTTTTTCTTAACAGGAATATTAAAATCAACGGAGGGCACTACACAGGCCACATAACAGCCCCTTGCCCTCGACGTGGCTAGTATTGTAGTTATGGTCGCCTTTATGCCAATTAGGTAATAGGTATACAGTACCGGTATATTTCATCATGAAATGCTCGTGAATAATTATCCTTTAGCTTACGATGATCCTTCTTTGGGAATCTTTATTAGACCTGAATTCAATTAGTATAACCAACAAGCAAGAAAATCGCTGGATTTCTCTGGGGACAAATTTCGCGGGTTCAAGGAGCGCATGCTCTCTTGCCTGCGAGAAATTTAGATGGAAAACTCTAATGTTATTACTCAGATTTATATTATGTAGATACACGAAAGGAGTGTATTTATATATATTATATTTATTTATATCGTTAAATTATATATTTTTTAATAAAAATAGCTTGCAAGACTATTTTGAGGAGATTTCTTCCGTGACATATTCTTTCCTATCATCATGTTTTCGCGGGTCAGTGTGGCTTGATGGGTGCGGACAGGATGGCCGTTCGATGGGTTCGCTCTCTATAATTATTGACTGATTATGTTCTTACCCCGATCCTATTGACGGAATTACACACAAATAATTTTATTAATTCCATAGTATCAGCTGAACTAAGGTATGTATCCCTTCATTATGGTTCTATGTGAGATAATAGTAAATGTTAAAAGAGCTTTACCTTTTCGCTTATATGATGCTAGTAAACTTGGTTAAAGATGATTCATAATTTTATATGATATTTTGATCATATACTGTATATGTTTGTATGGATATAGTCTTGTAGAAATGTGTTTGAATGTGTAATGTCTGTGGTATACATTTTAACGGCCGTGTAATTGTATCCTTGTGTAGTGTGGCGGAAACAACTTGTTGATGTAGCGGACAAGTTTTTTGTCCACTTGCTATAATGCTTATTTTTACAACTGTACCAAAGAGCCCTGCCGGGCTCATTCTGGTAACACATTATATATTTGTGTTGACCAATTCGAGCAATTCTAAACGCCTCTTAATGAGTATAGATTAGGTTAGCTGGAAATTTGAAGTCATTGGCATCACATGAAAGTGCATTGCTGGACTTAATATTACTTACAAAGTTTGAATTTGTGACAGGTTAAGAATCGGCAGAGGACATCCGCGGAACTTTATATTAATATTTATATCGGGAGGTAGATAAAGAACACAAAAATAAGAATATTTTATTCTATTACATTTTTATACAATTTTTTTTTCGAATTACTTTGATTTCGATTTCACGTTAGGAATTACAATAGGGTCGACTCCTCTCCCTCCCAAACAAGAGAAAATACCACACCCTCACCAGATGACAGTCAGGGTAAGTAAGTTCAGAGACTCATTCCCGTCATTCAGTTTCATCACGGAGAGCAAATTTTTGTCGTGATTACAAGTCCGCTGGAGACATTACATTTCACTCATGTGCCTGTCCCGCCACTCAGCGGAAGTCTCGGCCACGTGATGCCCATTGCTCAGGCTTTTGAATTTGAATTGCGACTAATCAGGTTAGTAGGTCGGACTGGTTCTAAAGCAGACTAGTCTAGTCAAAAGTTGCCAAACTTAACGTGGGATCGTCAGGCTTGACGAACAGCTGCAATTATGTAGGATTTGAATGTTGGTGTTTTTTGTGGCTAGCATAAAACGTGATGATCGCGCCAGTAAATGTGAAGGCTAGCGCTCGTGTAGGTGGACAGAGGGTTGACTAGATACCATTCCTCTCACTCCTTTAATGGTGCAAATATGTTACACAGGAGTGTTTTGTTGTCAAAAGAAAATTATTTTCATTGGTGGTGATATTTTGGCAATATAAACTTGAGCGTGTGGTTTATAAGAGGTTATGGTAAGTTTTGTTCTTGAAGGCACAATCGGTAACTACCATGAAGAAGGACCAATTTTGTCTCGTAATATTTCAGTACTCATTGGTTTCCACCGCCCCATTTCAGTGATAGTGTTGCAAAAAAATATTAATAATAATAAAGATTGCTCGTAAAATGTGGTACTGTATTAAAATAGAAATTAAAACCGAAATAAATACCCTATACAGAAACAGTTTGGGACAGTTGGACGAAGGTTGGGAAAATTAAACTGTAGGAGTAATATACGAGTATAGGCCAGCAAATCTTGGTAGGGTAACTATAGAAGGGTAATTGATCAATTTATAGTTGAGGACACACAAACACACACACACACACATATATATATACTATATATATATATATATATATATATATATATATATATATATATATATATATATATATATATATATATATATATATATACTGTATATATTGTTCTAGTGATAAGTTCAGACAAAAGTAAGCCGATTTCCATCTATGACACCTTTGACACATTTTACCCGTAACCGAGATATCGGGAGTTGAAAATCAGAAAACCTGCCACTCGGGTACAGAAAGTGACAGCTACGGTCAGCACAGCAGCTGGTGGGCCATGCAAGTTAACACTGACATTGAGATTACTTTACCGATAGGTCAACTATTTGACCGATACATGTGATACCTTTGTATCCGTCAGAATTTGTTGAGCGATGCAAGTGTATTTGTTGCATCGGCATGGATCCGGTGCTGCCACACTTAACATGTTCAGGGTTTGGAGAACTTCGTGACCAACGTGAACTCCTGTGTTCGTGTTAAGAATGAACCCCATCGCCTTGTTTTGATAATTTCTTAGCTTCGATTTTAGCCTTTGTATTAAGGCTGTGTATCATGACGAACAGGAATAGTCCAAGTGACATTGTATGAGCGCCAAGCAAAGGGTCTTACTGGAATCAGCTGAGGTATAAACATTTCTGTGGGTAATTTTTTGGCATTACTTTTTATTACCTATTATCTACGATCAATTCACTTGACAAACAAACAAAAGGTATTTCACTGAGGTTACACTTGAGATAAGTTCTTCTCCACTTAGTACTGTACAGAGAATTTGTTTACCTTATTGGGTTTTCTTTTTTATTCCTATAATATTGCTTCAGTGTTTCCAAGATGTAGGGATAATTTGTTGTCTATGAGTTACTGTTTGCATGACTTCAGTACGGTACAGATGATAACTCGTTAGCTCTATCATTTGGATCTTTACCTGACGCTAAAGAGTACTGCATCGGCATACACTAATGGGCATGTCGTTTACATAACACAGGAAGATTAAAGATCCTTATAGAATACTCCCATGTGAGACTATAGGCGATTGGCAAAGATATTATCTCGGCGTTATCTGCAAAAAAAAAAATGTTTCCCACTGCTGAGATATTATTTAAACCAGTCAATAGACTCAATGCCAAGAGGCTACTCATTTTCATATACTGTATATCCTCATGTTCTTTAACCTTGTTTTAGTTTTTATTGTATTTTGTTTTTTTCCTTTTTATCGTAGTCCATGTCAACGTTTTGTTTTATTATTGTCATCCTTTTTCCTTGTCTTGTTCTTCTCTTTTCATCTCTTCTTGTTCCTCTATCCTGCTTCCACTCCCTATCCGTTATTTTTTTCCCCTCCTCTTCCTTCATTTCCTGCTATTTTCTTTCCAATTATTGTTACTTCTTTTATAGCGAAACAATTCTCAATAAGTCGACACTCGTCAGAATTTGTTGGATATATTTGTAGCCGTAAATAACAAGCGTTTATTGAAGCCTTGTCTTTCGGTGACAACGTGAAATTGGACCAATTCTGTTGTCATTTTCAGGGGATTAGCGGCATGGCCCGTCTGTCATATTTGTCAAGGAAGTGGCGCAGTTCTTTGTTGTAATGTAAAGAAAGTAACACGGGTATTAGAAGTCTTTTGTTTATATATATATATATATGTATATATATATGCAAATAAATCACTGTAGCGCGTGATCTGGGTATATGCTGATAACCCTGAAGATGTGAATTACACGAAAGCGTTTGGGAACATTCTTTTTTTTATATATATATATATATATATATATATATATATATATATATATATATATATATATATATATATATATATATATATATATATATATTTTTTTTTTTTTTTTTTTTTTTTAAGAACCTGCCCTAGATTTTGTGTTACCTTAAAAGAATGTATCGTATAGTTTGGAGTGTTGTGTGTATATAAAGTAGTAGGTAATAGGCAGCTACCAAACAGGGAGGTACTACCGCCTGGGAAGATATTGGAAGCATAATGTGTTGTCTATGGTAGACCCTGCTGCCATATGGCATCACGAAAAGTGTGACCAAGTCCCAGGTTGCTGATCTGACTTTCTGCCTCATTTACACACAATTGCAGGGTCTCAATTGTTTCTCTTACTTTGACAACACAACATACTTATATTGTTTCTCACTCTTGATTTTGTTATTTTTTTATTTCTTTATCGTTCTTTATTATTATTATTATTATTATTATTATTATTATTATTATTATTATTTAAACACTTTACTCGGGCTGTTATCATTTTTATGTTTGATTCGCGCAAATGATTCGGTGGTTTTTATCTTATTGTGGGAATAATAAATAAGTATGTTATTGATATTTTATGCGACATTAATTTTGCGTAGATAACTCTTACTAAGTGAACACCGGGTCACATCAACTATTACTAACTACAAATCAATCAAATTATGCACCTTTCTTATCCATACTCACCTGGCAGCCTTTATCATTTGTATTGATCTTTGTATACCACACTTGTCATGTTAACCTCCCTTACTTCGCCTGCATAAAAAAACAACAAAAAATATCCTTCATAGGAATCCAACCCAAATGAAGGTTCGAAGACAAGTGATCGACAAATATTCAGATATTCTGTCATAATCCATTTCTTCGGGCACTCCATATCCCGGTAGCTTGTTGCGCTGTTTATATAGAGTAGCTTGTTACTAAAGATCAATGACTTAACTATCTCTAGTTTGCTTACAGTATGTGGTGATTTGTGTCACTACGTGTAAAACGAGGATGACCCAAATTCTAGACCAAGAAGGCGAAATGGCCTGCTTAACTCGGCCAGATTACCGTGTCAGTTACTTGCATAATCTGTTGAGTGGCGTGTAGAGTCTCCTTTCTGACGTAAGATCTGTAGGACAAAAGACAGACTAGGGATGAGCATTTTGAGTGTCATAATATAGTCTCCACGTGATCACAATTCTGAGTTATCACGAGTATTGACGAGCAAACTTCTTGTACAGGAGTTAAACTAAGTTCTTCCCTTTGTTGTTTAATGAGCTGATGGTCGACAGTGAAGGTTTTTTTTTGTGATTCTCAGGGTAGGGTTATGAGCAGCTCCAGGATCTCTTCGTGAAGGTGAAGGTAGTAGTTGTAGTTTAACGATTTTGTTTTGTAAGCTTTGTATATACCAGTCTTAATTAACCTTTCCTTGGCCTTCCCTGACTTTTTTCACGGTATTAATAAGTAAAGGCTAATTTGCTTTGTGTACGCACTGCAATACTGAATGCAGCGTGGACAACCCTCCGTTTTGTTTGTCGGGTACACAAGCACTTGAGGTGAAGTGTACATTGCCTTGTTGCTAATTTGCATACACACATAACTGGGAGTAGTTAACAAGTGGCACGTAAGTTGTTTACTTGTACTCCAGGGAGAAGTGCTGGCATTGATGCTATACCCTGTAC